AAGTCCGTATCGAAAGCCCACATCGATGATGTTTCGTTGAATGGTTCGCACGCTGACACTTGTTGATGGCCCAGCATTGAAATCTGCTGCAATTTGTGGAAGGGTTGCACGTCTGTCACGTTTAATGATTCTCGTCAATCGTCGTTGATCCCGTTCTTGCATGATCTTTTTCTGACCGCAGCGTTGTCGTAGATTTGATGTTTTACCGGATTTACGATACTCACGGTATACTCGTGAAATGGTCGTAAGTGAAAATCCAAATGTCATTACTATCTCGCAAATGCTATGTCCCATCTCCCGTGCGCCGATTATAACACCACGTTCAAACTCACTTAAGTCTGTATAACCTGGCATTGTAGCAGCAGTAACCGATTTAAGAACTGTGCTAGACACTCGTTGCCTTGCCGATCGCAGCACTGTACTTTGATAGGCTCCATACCCCTTTATTTGCATACTCATGCCTGTACCAGTTTTTTTTGGCTCTTCAGTGTATATATATCGAAACCTAATTGCTTTATTCATCTTTTTGCATACAATAATTCAACTCTTTGTTCATTTTGGCAATTGGAAATGTCTCTAGGATTTTTTATTAGCCTAACTCTTTTTAGGCTTATTGCAATGAACCCTAATACTTTTAGGCTAATAGGGAAAATAATCATTCATTAATGAATGATTATTTATTATGATCAAACAATATTGATAAAACGTTGATGAAACAATTGTTTCACCAAAATACTTTATGGACCATTTTCAATGAGCCCAGATGCTTCTAAGCTAATTAGAATGTAAATCATTCAATTAGCCTATATGCATTATACTATTAATTAGTCCACATGCAATAAGCCTTAGAATTAATCAAACGATTACAAAGTTAAATAATGATTTGCATCCTTTTATACGCATATGCACAGTTTTGAGAAAGAAACAAAAATATGCGTTTAAGTGTTGTGATTACGGAACACTTTGTATAACCTTATATTTAATGAACGTAATTTATTTAAATATAAATACAAAACTTCAATTACTATATGGACAATAATAAATTAGTTGTCATGAATTAAATTCGATAACGCCGGCTTTTTTTAGCGTCAGTTGCAGAATAAGTTCATTTCCCTTTTTGTCTAAGAATAATTACAGCTCAATAAAAAAAAAGAGAACAAAAGGGTGGGAAAATGAGGTTACATTGTATTAGAACATGACCTTATAAGGCAGGTTCACATTACTTATACTTTTATCTCGTTTGATTTATTCACTAAGTGGATCTATAAAGGAACTGTTTGATGAGCGAGAAAATCAAATATTAGGCACGTAGCTTCTTTGACACCAAACGTTGTGTACACATCTCTATACTAATTCTATGTGATTGGGAAAAGAATCAAATTTTTATTAAGAGATCATAATATGAAAACGAGCACTCATCACAGACTGATAATTGGTTAAAATATTAAACAGTTTGAATCGCTGAAGGTAGAAAAGATTTGCAACTATTAGTACTAAGATTTTGAAGAATCAGTACTTGTAACTTATTAGTACTAGACTTGTGATGCCACAATTTACTTTACATATTTCCTAGCCTTTAAAATATCTTTAATTATTTAAAGTTATTTTTTTTATAATCATTGTTAATCGAATTATATTTAAATTAAATCAATGAGATAATATTTATAAAAGCGAACATATTTAATTTTATTTTATAACCGTCGTTGAACAGCCCACCCAATTTTACGGGTTTACTACTACTAGTGTTCAACTCCGTAGCCTTGTAATTTTGAACCCAATCCAGAAGACAAGGGAACTTCTGGATCGAGTATTGGGAGAAATTTGCCTTCGGGGAGGTTTTTTGATGGAACTAACCCGCATTTGCGTTACATGGAGAGGAAGACCACGAGAACCTCACACGGTTAGCTTGACGTCAAGGGGACTCTAACCCATGATCCATCTACCACTGAGGATATTTCACGCGAGCACTGTGGTCGGTGCAAGCCGGATGCGGAATTCGTATCGACTGGGATTCGAACCCAGTTCGTCGCATTGGTTCTTTTCTTATCGATCAATGTAACGGCTAACTTTTTATTTCAATACTAATCTAAGACTCATTAATTCACTGTCACGCCTAATCGAAAACAAAAATTTATTTTTAACTCCTTATTCTTAAATTACTTACCACAAATATGTTTTAGTTGCATGGTTATAATAATTCTCACAGTCTTGTTGGCAATCGCCAAGGATTTTCTCAGACCAAACATTGATTATGGGTTGGCTACATTTTTGGCTATGTTATTTTTTTATAAATTGCCAATCTTTGATCTCTTCTCATGATTCTAAATGTCTGTTAAGAGCAATTCAATTACTTTTTAAATTGGCTGGTCATGGGGGATTTGTCTTCCATGGCCTGTTCTTATTCATATTACAGGGTACGTAGCCAAATTATTCAAATTATTCAAACGCTACGCACCCTGTATTATTATTCAAAATTTATTATTCAACTTAGAAAGTCTTATTATGGATATAATAATATTTTGTGTCTCGAGCACTACGAATACTACTAAATAAAAGTTTTATAATTATGATCCAGTTTTCTTCTTCAACTGATATTTTTCATTACCCTGTATTTCATCAAAATCTTCAATTAGTCAATATTACTATACTAACTCCAACCACACCTCATTTACGTCTTTACAAGACTTATACTAAGACTTGTGACTATCTTGTTGACTATTTCTCGAGTAATTATAAAAAAGAAAACCTTTTCAGCTTTTCCTACCAGTGCAAAAATCAGAAAAAAATATGCTTAAATAATAATGTAGTGTCCAAACCATCCATACGTAATATCTGGGGGGGGGGGCAGATATTACGTATGGATAGGAAAAGCGGAAAATACGTTTATTTTCAGCTTTCTCGAAAAGCTGGACTGGTTTTTTTCTTCTGAATAGCATTTCATTTATGCTAAAGACAATTTTTCAATTATATTTCGTAAGATAACCATTGCGATAGTCCAGACACCGAAGTTAAGTCCTTAGGTGTTTAACCTATCTTTATCTTTAGAAATCAATAAAATTGATTAAGTCTGGTTTTTTATAGATTCAGTATAATTCTATGTTTTTTCTTTTCTAAATTTCATTTGCTTGAACAACTCTGAAAATAAATCTTGAAATTTTTTCTCTAAAAAATTGCAAGGTTTTTACTTATTATTTTTTAAAAAAAATTTTGTTTGCCAATGGCATAGTTTTTAGTCGCTTAAAGTCAAAATAAGTTCAATAAAGTATTTAAGAGCTTAAATTTGTAAATTTCTCCACTATTTCAAGTTTTTGTCTATTTCTAAAAGAGGATGATCAGTTTTGGATATTGTGCATGAAATATTTAGATTACCGTAAATATATGAAAACCGTAAATCGATGACCCTAAATATATGAAAACCATAAATGGATGACCGTAAATATGTGAAAACCATAAATGGATGACCGTAAATATATGAAAACACGCATTTTAATTTATAACTTTGGCTAATGCTACCTATGCTTTGGCTATCTTATTAACTCTAGCTAATTCGAAACCAATTGAAAATTAGTGCATATGAAAATTTGATTTCTCACACATCTTTTCCGAACAATATCGAAATTTTTGAACGGTTTTTAGGTCTCGGTGGCTAAAAATGCCCTTTGTTCTCGCTGCCCAAATTTCCGGAAGATAGCAGAAACCGTTCTTGAGTTAAAACAAAAACACCTATACATACTCGCAGACGCAGAAACATAATGGGATACCAGCAAGTGACGTAGTGTGCATATCGATCCTGATTGGTTGTTGAAACGTGGAATTTGTTTACGTTAAGGCTCCTCTATAGTGGGTTTATATCAGGGGCTCTAGTATACGTTGGGAACTGTTCTTTCGATTCTATTACGAGTAAGCCAAGCCCGTCAATAATCAATACTCTTAAGTGGTTAATTCCATAATCCTTGGAAAAGGTTCTTTTATAAAGATTCCAATTCTTTCACTATGTATTTCTTACTGAACACAAAGGCAGGCATAAAGCTATGTAGAACATAAAGAAATTAGTTATGGATCAAATTTGCCAGGTGCACGAAACGAAAATGTACTATAAAATTTCCAAACAATTAATAAATTTGAGAAAGAATTATATTTTAACAAATTTTATGAGCGATACGGTGCT